GACCGGGCTAAGACGAGACAGGAATAGCTCAGAGACATAGGACTAATCATAAACTGGGAGTAAGGCTGTTCTGGGCAAATTGTGGGACAAATTTGTGGGCTACTCTATATAGCTAAACGGGTTGATTCAAATAACGGTTCCATAACTCAGTTGGTTAGAGTGTGGTGCTAATAACGCCAAAGTCGAGGGTTCGACCCCCTCTGGGACCATGCTTTTTTTCTTTTGCAACTTTTTCCCTGATCTCATATTGCTGAATATGTTTGATCGAGTTGGTTTAGTGAGCCACTTACAACGTCAGGGGATTGTCATCAATAGCCGACGCGTAGGTACTTGATTGCTGATGTGGTAGCTGATGACTGGTATTTTGTTGAGGCTTGAAATTAATGTACCGGCTATTCGTACTGTGCCGCTACCCTGTATTGTACTGTAACTTCAGGTTCTGATTTCCGCTCAACCGCCACATTCTCTCGGCGCGACCACTCCTTTATCCGACTAGCACGTGTATCGACTACAAGTGATTGAGCATTTAGATCGATGCAAATTAGTTACGTCGAATCTCCTACTACATCTCGTATTTTTGCCCCAGGTTAAATATCGCATCCAATCGTATCCTGAGTCCAAGCCGGGGAGGGTTGACCTTCATTCATATTGCGAAGATCTTCGCGACCGCGGCTAGGTAACAGGCGGTAAGAAGCAGCAGAGTAATACACCTAATACTGTAAAGTGCTGTAACGCTCTTTCTTCATGGAAACAAAATAAACGACTGTTTGTGCGACTACGAAATACCACACCAAAATTGATATCATCAAAATAATAGGTCTTATTCGATTGCCGGTACGTGATTCAAAAAGGCAGATGATTATAAGATACACAAAGAAACAAGGACCAAAAAGAATGGTCCCAGAGGGGGTCGAACCCTCGACTTTGGCGTTATTAGCACCACACTCTAACCAACTGAGTTATGGAACCGTTATTTGAATCAACCCGTTTAGCTATATGGCCGTCACACATTGTCACATCACGTGATTGGAGGATTCGCTTGACTCCGGGCCCGATGAACCGAGGCAGCATACTACACGTGACACTCACTCCACTTTGTCCGCTCAAGAGGTTGAGGCGGATGCGAATGCGAATGCGAATGCACTGTATAGTTGGGTGTATAGCGTAGGGTGTCGTCTGTACAGGAGTATTGAAGCCTTCATGTGTCGATAGTAGAGATGTAAATGGAGTGTGTTTCTCAGCTCTTCGGGTACTCCATCAAGGGCGAGGTTCGTGGAGGTTTGATCCCGCCAGTCGTGATTCGTGGGTAATGAGGAGGCCACTCGGCTCCGGAACCCGAATATATCTCACTCACACGAGCGCGCGCATTCCTGCATAGGTACTACCTAGAGATGAGATCGTGTGCTTCCAAGCACCTCTGCAAACCTACTGCCCTTGAATAAGTTTAGCCCCAACTTCACACGATCTAGACAGGGAGGTAGCAGACATAGACAATCAAAGGGGCGTCCCACGTTCACTACATATCCCACAAAGCAGGGTGGACAAGTACCACAAAAAAAGAGAGCGATCCCCAAGCCCCTAGTCTCCAAAGTCAAACCCCAGTATCAATTCTATTGGCTAGCGCCCGCCCCCGGAGTCGTATGTATAGCAGAGACTGACTGACCGGACGACGACGAATTACACATTCTCTCTAAAGCAGACAACATCTTTGTTCAAAGCCGAATTCCACTACCCGGGGATCGAACAAGCACTATTTCGGCTGGAATGGACTCTGCACGGAACCATATCTACATATTGCAGAGCAACACAGTCAGCATGCCATCAATAGATTGGGAGATGTAGCCGATGACGAAATTCATCAAATTAAAACAGACTCACCCCTGTGGACACTGACGCCCCAGCGCAACACTTCCACTTCGCATATAGCACACCTTCGCCTGCTGACAAGCCGCAGAGTCACAGTTAGGACTCTCGACACTGAGACGACCTTGCAGTTGATTCTGAAGTGTGACAAGACTGATCTCCTTCTCCATGGCCTCGGTCACCCGGTGCCAGAAGGTGGCGTTGAGAGGAGCATCCTGCTTCCAAGCGGCAGCAGGTCCGTATGTATCGCGGGTCGAGTATTCAAAGCGATAGGTGGGACCAGTCCCACGCAGAGCCGAGTAGTCTGAGACATTGCTGTAGAAGGTATATGCATCGTAAACATTAAAATCTCCAGTGTCAACCTCGTACAATCGAAAGCCACTGTTCAAGTTGGTCAACGGTGTAACGCTTGGACCGATCCAGCCTGTGGCAAGAGCGGTGGACTCGTTTCGAACAGTACCATTGTTGGCATAGTAGACCATGAATTGGTCCTCATGATTGTGACCGAAGAAAATGTTGGCAATGACATGCGGAGAGTAACGGTCTACGATCTGGTAGAAGAGGTTCGTGGGGTCTGGAATTGGATTGGATCCATCCCAGCCACTAGGGACATGACCTACAAGCCACACTCGCTCCGCGACGTCCTCGGCTGCCTGAAGCTCCTCGATCATCCAGGAGAATATGCCAGAGTTATCCGGGTTGGTGGTATTGATCATATTTAGTAGATTGGACCGATACCAAAAGTCTGCGTGCGACTGATTAGCACGGGTGATGAACTGTACCAGTTTGCCAGATAGTTTTTGATCTCGGAACAGTACCTGTATTAAAAGAGATGACACGTAGTCCAAAATGGGTCTTGATCGAATATCCACCGTAATGCGTTCGCGCTTCTTCAGCTGTCTTATTACTGATCCAGCCCTCGTGTTGCCACAGACCGGCTAGATGCTGGTAATTCCACGACGACTGTTGGCCCAAACGTCCAGGAAGACTATGCGGAGCATCGATGTTCTCCGGACTGGAGTCATGATTGCCTAGAGCCGCAAAGACAGGTCCGGACAGATACTTCTTGAACATGTGGAAGATGCTTGTCTCGGTGTACTCAACGTACTCGCGCGACATTTGAGATTTCGGGTCATGTGAGACCAAATCGCCGGTATAAAGCGTCCATGCCAAGGACTCTTCCTCGTCACCTTGACCAGTGCCGGTCAATGGCCCCACGGCCTGAAGAGCAGCTAGGGCCAAATCATAGGGAGTGTCACATTTGAAGGCCCCGTACGCCGAAGCGGGAAAGGAAGCATAGTTCTCGGGGCTACCATGATGGTTGTCTGCACGACAGCACAGCCCACTCGTGCAATTGGCTTCCGCACTGACAGCATATCGCGCATCGAGATGAAAGTCAGACATATGCAGCACTTTGACACGCTCTCCACTGGCCTTCGGAACTTGAGCGTTCTCTGGCTTTGGCTTGGGAAACAGACTGGACACATCCAGGGGCTGAGTCTCTGGTTGCTTACAAAAGCCGCTGCTGAGATAATGGCAGATGTATTGCCCATCGAGACCATCGACATTTGCGTAAGCTAGGACCTGTGTCCAGATTGCACCAAAGGCCTGCGGCGAGAAATTCTCTTCACAGGCAGTCTCGGATTGATAGCCAAAGGCCTTGCAGATATTGATCAGAGCATCGGGTACGAGAAGTGGAGCATACTGAGCGGCCGGCTTTGCTACGATCAGTGCTCTTTTGCATTTCGAGCAGTTTGACCCAATCTCTCGAGAATTAATAATGCCCGAGACGTTCGTGATGACCTCGTCAACCAGCAATTGCTGTTCACGAGCCCCCATCTTCCCCTGCGGCAACGGAAAAGGCACCTCGTCCGAGCTTTTAGGGATGTTGTCTGGATTCGTCAGCTCATAAGAAAATGTAACATCCAAGACTGGATCGTAAATGATCGGCTGGGGCTCCCGAGTCGGCAGTGCGGGAGCTTCATAGTATGATCTACGGCATTGGTGAGTTACTGCCAAATGCCAGGTATCCTGAGATATCGGTAGGAGAAGGATGGCCTACCTAAATGCCGCGGTTGGGAAGCCTGGACCTGCAACATATGAGGCCAACCCGGGCATTGAGGATGCCATGGTACTGGGTTGGAGGTTTCCCAACAATGCCTGAGCCATGAGCAAAAGTCAAGGAGCCACACGTTCCTGACGGATCAGTATGAGCCGTATTGTTTGGATGAAACATGTTGGCGGCTGGGAAACGGTGAGCTTCAAGGTGTAGTCGATCGCGGTCTCCGTTGAGGAGCCCACGTGGGGAAGAAGACGCAGGGGGTTGGGAACGGGGGTACCCAGCTGAATATCGCCATAGGACGGAGACAGGAACAGAGGATTCCGCTCGAGACAAACATATCTCCAGTCCTGGAGACGAGCAGATACTACTACAGTACTACTGGTCTCGATAGTGTAGTACCTTACTTACATGCCTTTCCCGTGATCTACTCGCAGCTATTCTGGGACCGGGGCAATGGCCTACGAGTATTTTTAAAGAGCATCTCGATATTGGGTGGTAAAGTAGAGTAAAATTCATCCCTTATCGAAATGATTGCGAAACACCCACCAGCATGTCGCAGAAACAGCGCACAACTGAGAAAGGCTTCGCACCAACTCGTTTCGAATATTTATCAAACTTCAAGTCCCGGTAGACATCAAACACACATGCTATGCAATGTACGCATTGGTCTCGATTGCGTTACGAACTTACGATTCACCTGGAATGGCCTCCAATTTAGGCAGCGGATCATTGATGTTCCACGGGACACGTGATCGATGGTATTGCGAGGGGAAAAAAAATCCCCCTTTCAGAGTGGAATAAGCGCGACTCAATTTCCGACTCTCATTTCTTTCTGAGATTTTTCTTGGAAAACGAGCGTTCTCACAGAGGGATGTCAGCATGGAGAAATGCTGCAAACTCTCGCTTTCTTACCTTGATTCTAACATTTGCGACCGTGCAATTCTGCAATGACTGGAGATCTGACCTTGAAAAAAGCATTCCACACCCAATCAGAACGGGTATTCTCGGGGTCACGAATGCAGACTAGGTTGAAGCAAAATATAGGAACCTGGGGAGAAAAAAGAGGTACAACGCGGGGCTTGTGGCCTAGTTGGTTAAGGCGTGGCTCTTATGTTATGGTCCGTAACCCGGATGTGACATGATAATATTAGCTGAAATCGGGAGTTCGAGCCTCCCCTGGCCCATGTTTCTTTTTGTTGACTATTTCCCCCTACTTTTCTACTCGTTCAATGTCTTCTCGCTGAAAATGAAGAGCGGCTCACATTACGTTCACCATCACTCGAACAACCTAGACTGAGACAATCTCGCTCCTTGAGAGGATGTGCTATTGTAGCTGGTACTACTCTGTGCACGTAGATACGAAAAGAATGGAAACTCAATTAATTGCCCGCAACATCGGGACTTTCGCTCTCTCTCTCCCTCCCTCCCTCTCTCTCCCTCTCACCGTATCATTGACCGACAGCAAGGGCGTGCAAGTTCCCAAGTGCCTAAGCGCCTGTCAGAGACCCTGATGACCGGTTCATGGGGAATTCCTGGGGCTGATTTGACTCCTTGTACGTCCTTACATTGTTTCCCTTTCCTTTGCACTCCACTTCCTCGCGGGAGGGGCCTTGACCGAGGGATAGACCGCTCCAAGAACGAGGCATAAGAAGACCAATGGAATGTTGATCCAAGCTTATTTCTGCAGTAGGCAGCCATGGTATACTTGGACAGTAGACGCACCGTGACAGAAGCCCGCAGGTTTGCCTTCATTGTTGTTGACGTATACTGGCCAGTTTTGGAAACGGTGAGCTTACGTCGAGCTTCAACGCTATGCGCCTTACTTGCCATGCAAGCTGTGGACTATTTCAAATGTCGATCAGGTAGACAGAGTGCATCCGTCGAGCAGGCTCTCGCGGAGTCGGGGGAATTATAAAAGGCCCTCAACCACCACGACCAGATCTGACTTTCATCACTCAAAGCTCACATTCAAAACATCAATTCAATCTTCATCTTACCTTTCTTGTTCTTCAAGAAAAAATCCACCCCGCAAACCGCAAACATGCAGACTCCCGTCATCATCCTTACCCTCGCTGCCATGGTCATGGCCAACTCCAACGCCGGCGTGTGCAAGAACGGCGAGACCGTCGTCTGCCAGGGCCAGGGCAACGGAGGCCTGATCACTCTGGGCAACGTCCTCCCCGGTGTCCTCGGCCAGAACTGCGCCGCTGGCGATGTCTACTGCTGCTCCACCGACAAGATCAACCAGGTAAGATTTGCGAAGACAGAGATGCGCACAACGTGGGAGCTTCATGCTAAGAATGCGTCTTTCTGGATCAGATCGGTCTCGTCAACTTGGACCTGAACGCTCAGTGCAGCCTTAACCGTGTCCTGTAAGGACGGGACTGATGTCGCCGTTCTTGATGTTCGCCAGCACAGAGCCTCTGTCGAGTCTTGAGCAATGAACGCCTTGCCACGATGCTTGTCGATGCTTTCTGAGGGATGATACTCTGCACGAAGACGTCTGCAAGTCACGATGGCAGTTTCCTTTGACAAATTGAGTGAAGACCTATGGGCATGGCGGGGCACGCTTGGTGCGAATTCAGTCAAACTATATCATGAATTAAGTAGTCTAGAGACAATGCAATATCAATGAACGACCTTTTATACGGACTATTATATGTCATGTGAGCAATGCATACTTGAAAAACACGAGTAGTGCAGCAACTCGCCTACATGTCTCTCTCATGACTTCGTAGTATAACAGCCATAGACGGTGCGTATATATTACAAACTTGCAATATGCCCTACGCGATGTGCACAGCGAACCTCCAACACTTGATGGGCACTGGTGCTGGGCATTGCTCGGGTCCGTATCCTAGATATTCACTAAGCGATTTTAATTGGATGAAAAGCCGAGTAGCCCACGAGTTATACATCAGCATGAGACCTTTTCATTCGATGCTTTAACGGGCTGTACATCAGTCATAGTTGAACACAAAGTCACACTGTACTTTACATACCTAAGTTGATGATCAACTATACATGTAGAGTGTAGACCACCTCACGAGACTCAATCCATAGTTGCATACAGGTGAGTCTCTAAAGTCACAAAACCCCACGGAATCTAAACCCGCGCCCATCCGCGAACCAACATCATGATGTCGACATAGGTGCGTCCCCCCAAAGTCGGGTACAAAGCCGAAGCAACTTGCCGATGAAGTCGGTATCGAACACGATAAAATACACAATGTCTCTGACACCTCGGTACATCCATCCATACACTCGAAATAAAAACATTTAGAAAATCGACCTCGCGCCAGATGAACTCCAGCTGATAGCCCACCGCGCAGTCAGGTGTTCGGTCCAGAACGCCCTTTTTTATTTTCCCCCTTGTTCCTCCGTGATTGGGTAGGCGAGAATAGAGTTGGGGTTCGGGTCGCATCCGGCCGATTTGGCTGGATGATGTCACTGGCTCGGCTCGGTACGTCTCGAGCTCAGCATGGAACAAGCCGATGGGGACTGGAACAGTACGGTTGCCCATAGACGAACAGGGTGATGATGCTTCAATATTACGTCGAACATTGATCGGGTCGGACGGAATTCAAGATTCTTCTTCTAAAGGGGGGATTCACAGTGGATAATCTGGTTCGTGTGGGTAAGAACTAGAAGTTTCTCATAGGAAACAGGATTTTGATGCCCCTTATATATAGTCCAGGCGTCGTAGGTCATACAGCTAACGTCCAATCCCTTGCCACTTCTGACTCCAATTCTCAGAGGAAACTGCTCATTTCCCTAAGCTTGTCCTCAATCCTCCTCCAAGGTCCTTTCACACATATCTCATCATGGGAATCCATCCACCCTCTGCCAAGGAGGCCTTCGACGCGGACATCCGCGATCGCCACTTGATGTATGACTATGAAGCTCAAGACAGCGAAGGACGACCGGAGAAATGGCGATATGAGATGTGGTTCCAGAATGAAGACCGCATCAACTACGCAATCCACGGCGGCCCCATGGCGGGCCGCATCAACTATCAAACCGCCGACTATCAGTGCATTCGTCCCGGCGAGCTGTGGCAATGCAACTGGCTGGAGGAGACGGGTACCGTCTGCTCGCTGGTCTTCGACATCCCACGAAAGCACATCACCTCGTTGATTGCCTTTTCCAAGGGCCATTGGGAAAAGGCAGAAGATGCGCATGGTGATAAGAGAAACCAAGCAGACTTCGACCGATGGCGTGGTCTTGCCAAGTTGGGGACTCAGGCCGATCGGGTGATGCTGAGCGAGCAAGCCGATCTCGTGAAGGACTTCCGGGGGCCGGGCGACCTGAAACCCATCGACAACAGTATGCCTACACTTTGAGTCAACAGCATCACCCAATGGTGTTCGACCGGCAGTAAATGCCCACGGTCTCTTGCGACCGAGGGGCGGGGGCTCGTGTAAGATAGCTGGGGAATAAATAAGACACGATTGTACGCTTGCTTGAATTTCCCGGCCCTGGTTGAAAGGTAGTTTTCATCACTCGTAACTTGCTGCGTAAGGACACGGTGAAACCTTCTGCTTAGGTAGTGGGAACCACTCATGTCGGAGCACCAAGGCTGAGCAGAGCGATCCTGAGTCACGTCAATTGCTCATCACAGGCGGTGGACGTACAAGGGGTAGCCACGTCAACTGTCAACTGTACGCTTGCCTTGATGGCCCATTGAGTCAAAGCGACTTTTGTCATGTCGTCACGTGCTTGTTGGCGGTGGATGGATCATGGTTCCTTTGAGAATGTGACAGGGGAGCCTTGCGGTGCCTGAAGACAAACCAGCTCAATCTGAATGTCATCCGGAGACGCTGGAGGCGGACTGCCGTATGCCGGAGAACGTGCGACGATACCGACCGCGACTTGGGAGGCCTGCTGGTCCGAGGTCATGCCATCGATGTACCACACCCTCCAGGGGTGCCACCATGAACCGGCGGATTTGACCTGAGGGGGCTGGGAGGCTGGATATCTCTCTTTGACGAAAGCTGGAAGACAAACGTATTAGCTTCTATGGTCTGCGTAAACGTACACAAGCAATTTAGAAGACATCCTATAACATACTCGACACCGGAATGGATGCAACGTCGAAAATGGGGGCGCCACAATTGGGCATTCGGGGATGATCATGCATCATGTGATTCAACGCAGCCTCAAGGGGCTTTGAATAGACCTCTCCGGACGAAATGAGGTTGAAGATGGCGTGTCGTAGGGCACTTTTGACATCACCCGAGCAGGACCGCCCCCAGACTCCATCGCAGCCGTTGGTGTTCCCGGAGGGTGTGCCTGTGAGATTGCCGATCCGCAAAGCCACCTCGGAGGTGCGATTTGACGTCACCACGGCCATGTTGATTCCTTCATTACGGTATCGTAACCAAAAGCCGGCTTTGGTCATGGGGCCCCGGCCCTTTCCCGTGGACAATTCGTCAAAGCCGTAGTAGAAGGTGACGGGATCTGGGAATAGCGGCGAGAAATCCAGAGGCACGGCCGTTTGGGCGAGAGGGTCGATGCAGGCCGTTTCCCAGAAGGAGCACATCTGCGCCCAGCCGCCCGGGAGAAGAAGGAGTAACAGGAGCCCAAGATGACGCTGAAAGATTGAGCGGATGGCCATCATTGTGCTGGAGCAAGGGTCAATCAATGCCCGGTCGGCTCTGAAGGTGACGAGATGAGAAGGTTGTAACACACAGCTCCGATGAGCTTTTACAGGAGACACACGAGATGTGAAGGAGGTCTCTGGCCAGACTCGCCTCTCATGCTCGACGGATCGCCCGGTTCAATATCGAGAATAGCTGTTCGGCATAGGATAATAGGGCTGGATGGCGGTAATCAGGGGACAGCAACCGAGGGCTCTTGTCGTCAAGGACCGGCCTCGACGAAATGGGTAATCGGTCTTCAGGCCGTCGGTCGGACGGACAGACCGAGCGATGTGGGAGATGTCGAGAGCAGAGAGGTAGGGGTAGAGGGGAGACGAAGATGGAGAGGGAAGGAAAGAGAGCAGGAAGCGAGACAGATGCTGACTCGTGGGTACAATAGTGACAGGAGCAGTCTAGAGTGGTGGTGTAATAAAGTGGTAGTACAAGAGTCCCTGCGGTCGTTTGTACGAGATTATGAGTAGTCCAGTCTCCAGTCTCCAGGCGAGTGACCAAACCCAAACCGGATTCCTCGCAGGACCCTGAGC